AGTTAGACAAGTGGCTGCTTGTTCTGATTTTATTAACTTTACTGTCCCGTGGACTTCAATTTAGAGACGAGGTAGTTAAAGGCAAAATTAAGTTGCCTGGGGATTTTAGTGAAATCTTGTCCAGTCTTATGTATATGGTGGAACAATCTACTTTTTTTATCTGGGGAGAGTGAGAGAAGCAGCCCATCCCACCACAGTGATTCACTGTTACATTTTAATGTAAGTTTTTGTGCATATGAAAACTTGCGAACGAGTTTGCCAAAATACCTTTCCCATGAGTTCCTGACACTTTGCGGATTAGCTCTTAAAGTGGAAATGTGCATCAAATTTGAATTTCATATTAGAACAATTACCGAAAGCATTCCATTTATCATCCAAACCAATTTCCTAATAAAACATGTGGAGACTGAGCTACAGCTTGAAGGAACTCTGCAAGCCTCAGGGGCTCATGCTTTTTATAGACTTTTAATATAAGATGAGGGTTGAACATTCACTAGTCTGTTTAGTGATTGTAAAATACTCTGTGGTTCTGAAAAGTGGAACTAGATAACTCTATTTTTATTTTGTCTTTCCTTTGTCAGGAACCACATCTAGTGGGTGATGTCATTCTATCCCAATGTCTCTTTATTATTTAAGGGCATTACTTCATCCTGTCTGCGCTCTCCATTTAAGAGCATTAATTCATGCCAATTTGCAGGGGGAAATAATGAAATTGAACCATTGTAAAGAACAATCCCAATCCTCAAAAAAAAAACCAAAACAGGCTTTTGGGAAACCCGCCTGAGATTTTTATTTGTTGCTTGACAGAAGGGGTTTGAGCATTTTGTGTCCAGTTGAACAGAATAATATATAATGAAGCAGGCAGCACAACAGCTGCGAGGCTAAGATGCTGAAATCCTGCCTTTAACTGACATTCACACTCGGATTTACCCATGAAAGTTACGTTTGCTATTCTGAGGCTAAGGGAGGGGTAAGCCAGTGAGGTTACTGCTGAGGAAGTTACTTACTCTCTTTTGAATAAGGAGAAGCGAGTGGATGCAAAGGGCTAACGTAAGTACAATCGGAAAAATAAAGGTCTGTTGAAAAGAGTGTGTACTTTAGTTAATTGTCCCAGAAAAGAAGCCTTGACTGGAGTCAGATTGTAGAAAAGAGAGAAAAAAAAGAGAAAAACGAGAGAAAGAATTTGGCTTCACAATCCAGCAACATGTGAATGATCTGAAGGATTATTGGTGTGGATAAAAGGGGAAACTCCCTTCTCTTTTCCAACACCATCATAGAATCGTTAATGTGCAACTAATAAGGTAGAGGGGCATTGATAGACAACAACCTTGACAATGCAGCACTCCCCTAGTGCTCCACTAAACTGTTGTTATCTCAGACTGCACTACCAACAAAGAGCTAATCACCTGCTAATCAAAAACAAAAGTGCTATGAACTGAGCCAACTATTTAAATAATATTTTCTGGTTGATTCTTGTCTCCTCTTTGTGTTCTAATTCATTTGTATTTGGGACTGTTATTGGGGAATAATGTTTTTAAAGTCCAACTGATACTAACAGCTGCAAACCAATACGCTGTGGTTTTGATTGTACATGAATCTGTGAAAAGGGGATGTAAGAGTCATTTCACGCTTCACATCCAGGCACTTCCAGGTGCTGAAGAAACTCTAAGCTTTGCACTTGATTGCAATATTTCAAACTGAATTATTCTGCAAAAGTAATTGATATTTATTACAGACCAGCTGTATTCTAGATCTGCAAATAGTAATCTCACTTATTTTTGGCTTGGCTCAAACGGTTTAGAAAATGGATAATTTTGTTAACCGGTTATAGGTATGTACTTGTCATCCTGTAAAATCCAGGAATCATTAAGTTTGTCATTAATCATTAAATTTAACGTTTTAATCATTAAAGCGCTCTGAGACGCCGTCCGGCGTGGAAGGCGCTGTATAAATCCAAGTTGTTGTTGTTTGAGTCCCCTGATGCTGACTGTTCATAAACCTGAAAATTCACACTAAAGTATCACCTACAGTGTTGTTTTGGGTACAGATACTTTGTGAACTGTTTGTCATTAGCCAAATAACCATCAGCTTCTTGCGGGGATTACTATTGTGGATGAGTACAAGCAAAGAGAGATTGACTAACAGGAGAGAGAGAATAAAGCATAGACAAGATCTGTGAACTGCTACATTGGATAGTGTCAGTGGAGATAAAACATAGATCAATCTTTCTGTTAGACGCAGTTGCCATGGCTCTTGATATCTGAATAGCCTGGCATGTCTTTTGAGCATGTTTTTACAGTGTGGTAATGTTTCCAGACCATTTCAAGTAGATCAGTTGTGAAATAATCCTTGCAATTGATGCTGCGCCTTATGGCTTCGAAACTTGAAGCGTCGTGCCTGTGCATTTGTAACCTTTTTCCTTGTTGGAGGGATGTTATTTGCATTTTGAGCACAAGAATGCATTGCTAACCTACATTCTTGTTAGGTTACCAAATAGGACTGGAGCAATCTTGCAGCCTTTTTCGTAAGGCATCATTTCCTTATCTGGCAGCATTGTTATCAGATGAAATTGAACGCACATTTCCTGCTTTAATTGTGCATGTGAACAGATCAAACTGTAAGTGAATTAGGCTGAAACAGCATTGTTTGTGGCTTAATTCTATCAGTACAGAATTTTTGATGCTTTCCTCTGTAAAAACAAGTGCGTATAGTGGAGATTATTTTGATCAGAACTGTATGTAGAGCTGGACCTGCAATAACGGTAAGAAATGTATCTGAAGTTTTGATCTACTAGGTTTAGAATACTAAAAGAAACAATTTTAAATTTAATTTCCATTTTTATTCTAATTCTACTATATCAGTTTAAGAAAATCACGGAGAATGTGCCAGAGATCACGACTATTTTTATTTAATCCTATAAAATAGATTGCTGAGGAGTATTAAAAAAAAGCCATTTTATTTAAAGTAATTGTGTAACTGATCAACAGTCTACTGAATGTTACTACAGTGTTTGGAATTTGCAATGCATTCTTCCTGGCGTATTTGTAATAGTTTCTGAATGACACTTGATATCTGAATAGCCTGGCATGTCGTTTGAACATGTTTTTACAGTGTGGTAATGTTTCTGGACCATTTCGAGTAGATCAGTTCTGAAATAACCCTTGTGATTGATACTGTGCCGTATTGCATCGAAACGTGAAATACAATGATTGTGTGTTGAACTAGTGAAAAGATGCAGGTAAAGGGGAAAACAGTAGTGGATTCTCAAGAAGAAAATGTATTGGAAATTTGACTCAATATCAAGGAAGATTGATTATACAACAAACCAATACTGAGCAGCGCAGAGCCTGGTAGTAACTGCATTGAAAGGAATTTTAAAATCCCAGCTCGATTTAAACCAGCCACCCTTACCAATGAGACAGAGTGGCCTTTTCAGTGACCCACTTGCCAATTTCAGATCAATTTAATAAATTCACAATCGAGCAAGCAACCGTCAATCTTGCTCATGTTGATTTAAATGCACAAACGGCAATTAAACCAATCATTAAAATAACAACAACAACGTAGATGAATATAGCTCCCCTCATGTAGGGTAGCTTCTCAGTATAACATTCAGCTGTGTTAAAATATATCCACTCACTTCAATTCTTTTGTCAGACAATGCGTACTTTAATTAGAATGTAATTTATTAACGTGCCCTCAGTATTGCAACTTTTATCCATTATCTTTATTTAAAAACAAACAACTGGTCATCGCTCTGGGCCACTGCGTTTCAATAGGAATAGATTTTCAATTTGGAAACTGGCCCGAGATAATAATATTTATGAATTAGGTGTGTTCATAATTAATAATAGCATTTGATATGGTAACGTTATCATGCCAGTTTCTGTATTTGTAGGCGAATACACAAATAGATCCACAGAGGAAAACTATACATGTTTATTGAACTTGCACAAAGTGAAACCCACATACACTCAGAGGTTCCATACTGGTCACGTTCATCTTTTCCCTGTTCACATTCCAAAAATCACAAGAGATATTCCTGATACTGGATGCTTGATCCCTGCACGTAACACATGTTTTGCAGCTGAGGAGTGGTTTAGCTGGTGGAATTTAACGAGGCTGACGCCATGGTATTGGAACACAGTTCCTGCTGACTTTCACCATCTGTGTCCTGGTAGGGTCTTAACATTGTTACTGGCTGTCAGTTGCACCATTGCTGTTCCTCTGTTTAACAGGGAGAGGAAAAGGTAGGGCAGGGATAATGTTGTACACAGTTTTATAAAGGAAATGCAAAAATCTCTATTTTAAAATGTAGACGTTTTCGATAACAAAACCTGTAAATTAATTTGGGATATTAAGCATAATTGAAGTTATATATTAGAAGCCAGGCGAGATGGGTAGGTCAGTTTTGTCAAACTACTGTATTAATTGGCTGAGTTATCTGTAGTCCATATAAATATGCTGCATGGATATTATTGAAGTGCAGCTGAACTATTTGTAGATTCTCTCAGAAATTTAAAACATCAGGTAGGAAATTTGACAGCGAACAGAATGCAAACTTTTCCCAATAAGTATTTCTGCAATGAAGAGCTCTTGTAGTGAGTGTCCACAATAACTCAGCCAGAGGCTTACAAGTACAGGACATTGCAATAACAGGAAGGGCTGCATTTCTAATGTGGTTTGGGGGCGGGGGGGGTTAAAAACAAGATTAAAGAGTGATAACATAGCTTGAATTAAGGAATTGCTGAAAAAATATGTCACTAGTTTGTGTATACACAGATTTGACTTGGAGGCAACTGTAACCTCCCACCAATTTGGCAAATCCAGAATATATTTATTGGTTTCAATTAATAAGGATGTATCTATACGTCTAGAATCATGACTCTTAAATGGTTGGACATTAATCCTGTGACTGATTAGACTGTGGCTGATTAGACCTTTCATTTCACACAATGTGCTTTCTATTTGTGGTAACGTTTCTCCTGTTTGATTTGCAGAGGCCTATTACAGGTATCCTGAGCGCACAATGACTGAGCGCTTTGACTGCCACTATTGCAAGGATTCCCTGAATGGGAAGAAGTACATCCAGAAAGATGACCACCCTTGCTGTGTGAGATGCTATGAAAAATTTGTTGCCAACACTTGTGCCGAATGTAAGAAACCAATTGGTTGTGATACCAAGGTATGTAACTCACCACAGTTACTGAATATATCTTACAATACCAAGAGCAGCAACTTGCTATCAACTTGGTACTAACTACTGAAGTTTAATGTTATAAACCGCTCGCTTACAGTGAGAGTTGCAATTTTCTGGTTCCCTTTGGTCTCTGATGTAAGGTTCCAAATGTTGTGCAGTCCTCATTTGTGTGCTTTAACCTTCACTCTAAACCTAGACGTTTTAGGAACTGAAGTCTTAAATAAAATGCATTAAGATAATTGAGGCTGGGAAATAATATCTCAGGATATAATGTATAGTTTCGGACACGACACGTCAGGATGGTGGAAGGTGAACTGGATGGACCTTGGTCTTCTTTCACCAAGCAAATTCTTATATTTATATTCTTATCTAGTGCTGATTGCAAGACTGAGTTTCACAAGCAATCCAGCAGGGCCTCTGAGAATGCAATTGTGAAATAAAATATTGATCGCTCTGTTTTTTTTTTGACGTGGGAAGCCTCGCATTTTGTTATTGGTTTACCGATCTTAATGTCAATAACAATCTGTTCATTAAAAATAGAAAGCACCAAAGCAGAGTGACGACCAATTATAGGCAGGTTATAAATGAACTCAAATCCGTTAATGTTACATATCCAGCGCTACCTTGTGGAAGTTTGGAGAAATGCAAATCACAATGATTGTATTGGTATTTGCTGCAAAATGTTTTAGGTGGCCTCTGCCTCGCAATTTTAGATCCTTAAAAAAAGTAACAAGGGGATGATTAGAATGTTTCTTTATAACTGCTATATTTATAGCATGTGACCATGTGGTAGGAAATATTTCTCCTTTAAAGACCAGATGCCAATGGTAGGTGATATTATTGAGAATAATATTTTTTAAAATAATTTTTACACTGATTTTTGCACGCTTGAAGGGGAAGAAGTGCATTGCGAGNTTTTTTAACCTTAGAAAAAGGTAAATTTTCTTAACATGGAGATGCTTCAGGACCACGGCAGAACAATATCCCTCCCCAGAAGTTTATCATTATGTCCAGATTGTGGATAAGAATAAACTGATACAAAATACTTGATCAGTACAGGTACAAGCAATATGTCCCAAAATCAAATCTGTACTGGTGAAAGGCAACACATTAATAATTATTTTAATTATTTTAATTATTAATACACAATTAATCATTGTTAAGATTACTGCAGGCTTCACACCTTTTTTCTAATTTGCTCTTATCTGGTTTAACAACATATTTCAGTGATGTCAACGTTGACATGGTACGCAAAACCAAAGCAGTGTTTTTTAAAAAACGTTTCTTCTCTTGTTATTTAATGTTGCTATTAACAGCTGTATATTATTATTAATCTGTTTGATTAAGGAGTTGCACCACAAGGGCCGTTACTGGCACGAGAACTGTTTCCAGTGCCACAAGTGCCGCCGCTCTCTGGCTAATGAGTCATTTGGTCTCAAGGATGAAAAGATTATTTGCACCAAATGCAGCAGTCGGGCTGACAGCGGTGTTTGTCATGGCTGCAAGAGAGCCATCAGACCAGGTAAACCAAAGTCTGATTTTTATATTCTGGAAAGCTAATCTATTTATAAATGTTGGATGGCTGGGTATCCAAGTGCCTTAAGACACTACTCTGCGTGAATGGCGCTTTAGAAATGCATGTTGTTGTTGCTGTATCAAATTCAAAATCCTCGTTTTCACCTTCAAATCCCCCCACGGTCTCGCCCACTCCTACCTCCGCAGCCTCCTTCAACCAAATCTACCCGCTGCTCCCTACGCTCGGTGAACACCAGCCTGTTTCATGTCACCCACCCAATCCACCCCACCATTGGCAGGTGGGCTCTCAGCCATCCTTTGTTCGTACAATATTAGAACTTTGCTTTATCCAAATGTGGGTCTTATGCCAACCAGTTTGCATTCATATTGTTTCAGTGTACAAGAGCTAAAAAATATACAATGATAATCTTGCACTTATCAAGCTGAAACATCCTAAAGGCGTCACAATAACTACTGTTAAGTATCGTGATTGCATATTTGTCAGTGAACGTACATTAGTAGTATTTGTATTGTCCTGTTAAATATTCCATTTTTTTTTAGGAACTAAGAGTGTTGAATACAGTGGAAATAACTGGCATGAGAACTGCTTTGCCTGCAGTCGCTGCTTGCAGCCTCTTGGATCTCAGAGCTTCATTCCAAAGGGAGATGAGGTTTTCTGTGTTACCTGCCATGAAAAGAAATTTGCAAAGCATTGTTACGGCTGCAGAAAGGTAACAAAAGTAAACGTGATACTGAAACCTAAGCCCCATGAGTTGGGAGGTTTTTATTGTGTGTGAACATGGTCTCTATTGTAAGCTGTCACTTTGCTTATTACGTTATTTATCCAGTGAAAGGATGTGTTTTTTATTGAATGCCCAGTCTCCTGAGTGGGAACTTGAGTAGAATTTTCTTCCAACCCTTCAGACCGTTAGGGAAGCTTGAACACAGAGGAACACACTCCTCCATTTAATGTCAAGCAAATTCTCTTTGGATGGATAAGAAAATAGTACAAGAACTGCAATTTGGTGTTTTTGAGACCTGAAGTAAAATATTGATACCAAATCTATCTTCCACTAGAGAAAAATGAGATGTGTTACATTGAGATCACTTAGGGTGCAACCTTTTTTGGGAATGTTTCTCTTTGGACTGAAACTTATTTCTGTCTTATTTCTTGCTTATCACTTTCCAACCACAAGTGTCAAGTACAAAGAATATGCCTTGAATTTAATTCAAACTTGTGACAAGTTTGTATTCCTCCAACTACTGTTTACTTTTTAATTAATTATTTTTGGTGAGCTTTTTAAAAGCATTTAGTGATTCAAAGTTATACATGTAATTATGCATAATTCGGGATGGCCAGCAGGATATCTGCAATGGGTTAACAAGATACTGGGTTAATATCAGGATCCAGGAATCATTTAAGAAACAGCTCGATGTTGTAATGGGAAAACAGTAAGGTGGGTATTCTGGAAAGATGAAATCAAATGGGTCTTCTTCACCCAAACATCTCCTGTGAGGTGTCTTAGCTTCTGAGTTCTAAAAATGAATAAACAACATATTGAATTGTAATTGTGCAACTTTTCTACGCAAGAGTCTACAAATTGGGGTTTGTAAAAGAATATGTTTGCTTTCAGGCAATCACTAGCGGAGGAGTGAGCTACCATGATCAGCCCTGGCATTCGGAGTGTTTTGTCTGCAAAACATGCAGGAAGCAACTCTCTGGACAACGTTTCACTGCCCATGAGACCTCCATGTACTGCGTCGATTGCTACAGCAGTTTCGTTGCCAAGAAGTGTGCCGCATGCCACAAGGCAGTGACTGGTTAGTTTCAGTAAAGATCAATTGTTTTAATAATAATCCTTGCATTTGATATAGTGCTTTTCACGTCTTCCAGACATCTAGTGAAATCTTTCTGGGACCCAGAAGGAGGATGTACTCTATTATAGAGTATTTTCAACGTCTGAAAGAAGCTGGTTTTGGAGCCTAATCAATCAATAGATCTGAACAAAGATGTGACTCAATTTTTCAAGTTAAAGCCAGATGGGGGAAGTGTGATCAGACATCCTGATTATTCCCTGAGACTTGATGTTCATGCTAATCATTTTCAAATGTTATTGGTTTAAGAATATATTAATGGTAAAATGTTGATCAACCCATAGAACAACCATGTTGGGTGTTATATGTCATTTATCTCCGTGCTGCCAAATTGAGTTTGGTCACTAGAGGGAGTTGGTGTCTTGCCATCTGGTGAAGAGACACTGAATTAGTATTGCCTATTTCCTATCTGTTTATTACTGAGATCAAATATTAAAAGGGTTATTGTTTAGATTGTTTTGCCTGGTGAATAATGCTTTTTGGGCAAGGATTGGAGATATTTTTCATTCATTTTACAAAAATTTGACTCAACTATTCAGCGCCACTTGGCTTTATAGGGTCTTAACATTTGCCCGCAATCAGAACCAACCTGATCCAAACTAATTTGCTTTGACAGGTTTCACTGCATTTTTTTTTGTGAATTCTAGATGGGTTTAAATTTTTTTTATTTTCTATTCATCTGAACAGAACTTTTAGATAGTTTTATTAATTGTAAACAAAAGCAGATGCATTACTATTGTATTAATATGATGTCCATCTTTCATCAGGATTTGAAGGAGCCCAAGTTGTAACTTTTGAAGACCGTCAATGGCACAGTGAATGCTTCATCTGTAAGAAGTGTTCTATTTCTTTGGCTGAAAAGCGCTTTATCAATCACAACAGGGATGTCTACTGCACCGACTGTGGCAAAACCCTGTAAAACACAGGATTGATCTGCTGCCCTGAAAACTAAATGCTGATTGAAGTAGCATTTATTGCTGACTTCAGTGTTTATGTTAACTCTAGTTCTGCTTAACATTTAAAATCGGATAACAATAAGATACTGTTTGGTGAATTAGTGTAGAAAGACATATTAACCTTCATAATTATATTCAGCAATGCACGCAAGCCATATTGATAATTCCTCTAAGCAATAATCAACATCTGCAGGTCAAATGTATTGAAATGGAATTTCGTATAGGGCTATAGTTTTTTCCCCACCATTCTATGACTTTGCAGATGGATCTTGAACTAGCTGTGAGGTGGGAGAATGCAATTTACTTCTTAGATTTACAGAAATTGCTTCTAGTCATCTGAACAGAAATTTTAGTTAGTGGATTGATTCTGTTTGCTGCAAATATTAATGGGTTTTTAGAACCAATTTTATTAACCTGTAGCTTAACCAGAGTGCGCATTTTCTGTTGAAACAATGAGTGCTGCAGTTAGAAACCTCCATCCTGAAGATTATTAAATCCTTTAATTAAATGCAACATTTTCAAATTTAATTCAAACTAAGATATTAATCTAAGTAGTTTAGTAGAAAGTGCTTTGTATTAAATGACTAATATTTTCTAATTTAGATTTTGAAAATGCTACAGACTAAAAAAAAACTTGTTAAAGGTTTTAATGGAACTCAATTAATCATTTGAGACCCAGATGCATGCAGGGTCCTACAACTCAACATATCATACATGAATCTTGCTGGAAACATGTTCCAAATGTAATAAAATAATAAACCTAAAAGCTTTTGTACATTATTTCTAGAATTACATTTGGGTTTAGCTCCTACAGAATTTAATGCTGTAAAATAATTTCGTATTTTCATACTTGTTCATTCTATTTGAATTCCATGTATAATTTGGCTCAGTTGGTTGCAATCTCCTCTCTGTGTCACAAGGCTGAGGTTCAAGACTCACAGCAGGGATTGAACTAAGGATAGTGGGTGTAAGTTAGTACATGGATATTGATCTATATGCAGAACATACCAAGTTAAATATTTACAAATCTCTGCTAGCTAAAGCGGTGCCTCTTGTGTAGACTCTGCAATGAAGTGAATTGTGGTGATAACAATTTTATGCTTCCATAATTATTTCACTACATAGTACAGAGGAAGCTAATACAGCATATAGATGCATTCTGGAAAGTCAATAAATTGTAATTGCCTTCAATAACATCCTGCGTGAGTCAGTAAAAATGCCTGATATCTAAAGGAGTAAATGTTGCAAATCTATCCGGGGCAGGGAGGAAATTCAACAAGCTAAGGGCCTTGCTATTATCCAGATTTTCAATTGCAATATGGAAAAACAGCACAANTTTTTTTACATAGATGCAAATATTGAAGAAAGATTTCAGTCATTCCCATTTTTATCTTGCAAAATTTATTTAAATGATACAGATGCTATTTACATACAGTTGTGGACAGGGCATTGAACAAAAGTAACATCTGCACAGCAAAAAGAGGTGTCATTCTGTCAGCGATTGTCATTTTCCTGCAAAGATTTCAAATGAACTATCTTACAAAAATACACAATGTTATTTATCTAAGGCACTGCTCTAGTCTAAAACATTGCCACCATATAATTAAATTTACTGTTTTCAGCATTTGTTACAGACTAGAAGATTCCTATTTTCATAAACTGCCTCAAAAGGAACAGCACTTCAAAGATAAATTGCATTTGCAAAGATACAGTTAAACATGAACAAAGTGGCCATTAGGTCAAGCAGGCTGTTCACAGGAAGATGCATTAACGAGGTTAACAAATAACAATAGCGGTAATATTTAGGGAACAGACAAGTGGAGGAAATAAGGAAAAATGCAGTTTCCTATTGCTTTGCAGTAAGTCAGCAGCAGTGTGTAGTATTTTGAATTCATAAGCTAAAGCACATTTCCATGTTGGAATAACTAAAGTTTCAACTTATACTACATGTACAGAAGGGAATCAAAACAAACATGTTAAGGGTTACTGTGAAAAGGTTGTTTAAAGTTGACAAGATTGTCTCGTGACATTTCTGGAAAGGATACGCAGAAAGATGCTTGAAAACAAAACAAAAATGTTACCATTTTCACTAACCTACTTCATGGCCCAATACTGTGTTATATACATTAAAATACTTACATAGATATGAAGAAATTAAATACATTTTCTCAAAAGCAAATTCTGACTTTAAAATGAGTGAAGTATATGTAAACACTACCTATGTTGCTAGAAGACAAAATACTTTGACTTAATGAAGCCACTTAAGTCATTCTTAACATCCATTAGTGCAGGCTTATTGCAAAATACACGTTTATAACAGAACACAAAAGGGAGAGGAGTATTCCGATAAAACTAAACAATATTGTTTCCTAATCCAGCAAAATGTTGAACATAAATGGTAACATTTTAATGCACCATGTTATGAAACAACCAAAATTTTCATATTAGATAGTTATCAATACACATCCCTTCTTACACTTAGACAGAGTCCTCACTACTAAAGTTTATTTATTCTAAACACACATCTGATTGAGACACTATATTAAGGACCTGAGCCAAGATAATAGCAGCTGGAAAAAGTCGAAGATGGGCAACTAGCAAACGGAATTGTTTACTACCTTACACCTTACACTAGGTCCTACCGTTTATTACGAAGATTAGACAGTTATAATAGAATACTATAGTATTTTGTAGCACTCAAACATTGATTTCACAAACACGTTTGCTTGTGTGACTTTAAGGAAATGGAATTACAATTCCTATCGTGTTCTTCAACTCTATTATGTTTTGTGAGGGAACCGATAAAATTTCATTTTGATTTATTTTTTCCAAATGTCTCAAATTATTAAAAAATAAATTTGCCATGGTCCCATTGGTTAAAGTGAACTACAAGTATGCAGACACCATAGGCACTATTTACTTTATAGTATTGCAACAAGTAGCAGTAAAGAAAAATCTTACCCACATAACTAGTATGACAAACTACAGTTAATTTTTTTACTAATATGAAAATAATGGTGGCCCAAACATTTTAGTCAACTACATAAAGGACAAGAAAGGAATGAAATTTTAATTGACCCATTCTAGCAAAACAGCTTACAAAATCTGCTACCAAGCGAAAGCACAACGTGGTCAAGGAACTCATCCCTGAAGCTTTTCAAGGTGCAAATTTTACAATCAGCATTCCACTTGACATTTTTCGTGCCACCTGTATTAGGGTCTTGCTCATTCTTCGAAGCAAGTATTTTGAAATTCTGTAGAAGCAGCTCTATGTAACAAGGCCTTCAGCACTTAGTAAAAATACTGAATATGCAAGTGCAATCACAAGTGATGTCCAGGACCAAGGCGTTCAAAGCTCTGAGAAAATGAAATCATGGTGTTTTACAGCAGTGCTAAAAATAAAGAAATGCAAATTTATTTAGAGAAGAAATTGCTAATTATAAACTCATAATTAAATTATTTCATCAATAAGAAAAGTGTAAATTTGGCATAAGCATCTTTTTATTTGTTATGTGTTATCTTGTCATTCAATCCAAGAGTACGGGACACTGCTGTGTACATTTGAATTAAATGGCTGCCACATTTCTCCCACAAAATAGTCAATCCACTTTACAATAAATTCTGCGAAATGCTTTGAGGCGTCTCAAAGACATGATAAAGCGCTATATCCAATGCAAGGACTATTATTATTATTTTACAATTTCCCCGTTACACGCCTGCCATAAAAGCACATCCAATTTGATTCGGGGTTACGTTAAACGTAATCAAATCTAACAGGAGGCCAATGCATTGAATTTAATTCATTAAAATCTTACCCGATGTCGCTTCAAGAGGTTTGGTCAAAGATGTCACTCCCCCGTTTTCCTCAAGTGCAATGATACGGTTCTCAGGGACGCCGCCAGCGTCAATCAAGTTTTGGTTACAGTCATCAGCATCACGTGCAGCTACAGTTAACTTGGTGGTTTTTGAATGAACACCAAGCTCAATAAACTCCTCAAAGATCCAGGTGCTAGATTTTCCATTCTGACTTTCAAGTCCAACACTCTGTTCTGCTTCATTTAAATGTAAACATTCCGATTCGGATTCTTCTTTTGGCATAGGGCTTCAAAAAGGAAAATGCAAAAGCATAAAAATAAGTCACTGAACCGACAGAAGTAATACACGAAGCAACTCTTGAATCTTAACATTTTTGACATGCCTTGAAACAAATATCGTTGGCTTCAAAATGTAACAGCCAATTGAACCGTAATGAAAAAATCTCATTAGTTTCACTTTAAATAGTTCTGATGTGAATTCGGTTTAGTTTTCTATAATTTAATTGTTTTATCCATGAATATAATCCGTTTGATTTAAATTTACAAACCGCACACTGTGTTTAAATACAAACTGTAGCAAAGAACCTACCTAACATCCATTGGCTGGTCACCATCCAAGGAGTTCACAATATTATTAGGCTTGTCTACACCATTTAGATCAGTTACGTCATCAACAGCAGGTCGTGTAGACAATACCGTAGGCATAGTCTCAAAGCCACATTCCAGCTGTGAATCATCTTGAAATGCACGAATGCCGTTGGTCCCTTCTAGGCACAGAATAGATTTAAGGGAGAAATTAAGCTCAATTACCTTGATATTTTAAAAACACTGCATGACAAAATGTACATACAATCTTGTGTCTAGCAATATTCTTCTATAGTTGGTGATAAAAGCAACTAAAACAATTAAAAACTAAGCTCACTGTAAATAGGACCAAAATGGAAAATTTTAAAATAAGGAATGTAGTTCGGGTGGGGAGGGAGAAACGGCCAATGATTTGAGTAGAAAATCACACTCTTGTGTGCACTGGAGTTTTCACCATGAATTGCAAACAACAAAATTACTTTTGTTTTGGGTTGGGGTGGGGGAAGGGAAAACCTCTTAAACGATTTTTTTTCTATAAAGCTGCATTAATTTAGAATCTTCAGCAATATGCCAATTACTCACCATCATTATCTAAATCTTCATTTTCAGGCTCATCTTCATTATTTTCATCTTCAAGGCCTGGACTGTCAGACTTCTCATCCAACTTTAGAAATGGTTTTGAATTATTTTCATTACACACACAAAAAAGCTCCAAAAATAGCATAATTAAGAATACAGTCATCAGTTTTATTTGCTCAAATCATTCTTATTCACATGAATGGCATAGAGAAGCAGTTTAATAAATATTAAATGTAACACTAAATGTAAATATGTGGCTGCCAAGGGACTTGAGCACCCAGTAAGAGTAAAAACACAATCTTGTTGTTATGCTCCATCAGTAATCTTATAGAATGGTTTGTTGTGACTAGTTCTAATAATTTTTAAAATGAAACAATGGAATCCTCCAATCGTATTAACTGCTTTTTGCTACAACATTTAGATTTCAGGATTGAGTGCCTATCGAGGCAACACACTGATCAAAACTCCTGTGAAATGCTCCAAGTTGATGCAAGTCACTTTTCCAGAGGAGGATAGAGAAATTAATAAGTGACTCAAATCAATGCAACTATTTTGCATTTCCTCTATACTGGTTGAAATTAGTATAAGCTGGGGAACAAGTTGGACGTGATCATAATCAGCAGGAAAAATAAGAATGAAAAGATGAAAAAAAAATCAAAGTAGTTACCTTAGATTCACTTAGGTCACCCTTTCTTGTTCTCTTCATAATTTCATCGATTCTCTGTCAATTGGAATGAAATGTTACACGTCTTGGATATAAAGAAGTAGTACAATTAAAAGTGACGTTTATAATTGACCAACGACACACGCAATTCTACATACACACGGTTTACACATTGTGCATAATATACTTGAAAATGACACATGGCACATAATAATAGACATGACAGACGAGTGCAATGTAACAGTGGGTCGACACAATCAGTTGGGGCATACCTTCTTCCTCTCAAGCCTTTCCTGATGATTTTGCTGCATGACGCGCTCTCGTTCCAGTTTCTGACGCTCGGCTTCTTCCAGAGCTTTGGCTTCAGCTTCCTCCCTCTGAAATAGACAAAGTATGGATCCGAGTTTATATATGTACCAAAATTCAAACTCTTAGCTGCAAAGTACAGTTGTTTATAGCATTATTAAGATATTCTACAATTCTAAGACCCTTTTTTTTTAAAATCACATTACACAATTTATGTTTATATCATACACAGGAAATAATGATGAACGGAAATAACAAAATAATCACAAAAAGTCCAAGAATTCCTAAACACTAATGTTTGAAGCAAATTATGTTAAGAGTTTTCAAAGTAAAGATATCCCCAAATAGGTTTCTTGCCATTCCGTGCCTAACACTCTCAGGTAAACAGGATGTGTCCTTCCAAGGAAAAGGTGTGAATTGCATTCCAGTAACTATCTTGGGAATTTCCATGTGTACGTAGGATGCATGAAGGTAGTTTGGATACTCTTAAGCATGGTGATGGGTTTCCACATGCGTCAAGACTCCCGGCTGACCAAACAAAAAGTTCATTGTGAACTAACCTGTTGCTGAAGTTCTGCAAGATGTTCCTGTTCCTCTTGTTCTCTACGGATTCTTTCATCTTCAGCTAGTCTTTGATTCTCCTCCTCTTTAACTTTTCTTTCTTCTTCTTCCTTGTGTTCTTCCTCTTTCCTACGAATACTCTCTTCAGCTGCCTTTTTTACTAATTCTTCTTTCCTAAGTCTTAAAAACGCACTTTGTAGTGAATAATACAATTCTTCTGCAAGGTCAAAAACATTTTATTTATCACATACCAATTTGGTACAATTTTATTCTTAGTCATTGCTTTTAATATGCTAACCTATTTTACATAAAAACGATTCAAATAATTGTCCAGGGAAAAGTTTATTGAAATTGTATGACTATACATTTTAAATGACAAATAGTTTTGTTAGTGTTTAATCAAATCACAATCTATAAATGCTCGCTTAAATTTCTTACAATTTTTGTATAAAACTTACTTTTCAGCTTCTTCTCGTTGGAGCTTTTCTTGTTCCTCGCGCTCTTTCTGTTCACGTGCGAAGCGGCGTTTTTCAGCCAAGATTTTTGCAGCTTCTTCAGCAGTTGTGGTCCCTGCGATAGTAATACATTCCAATGGGTTGTCAGGTTAAAGGCAAACAAAAATTCAAAAAGATTCCTACAACCACCTCTGGACACAGATGAAACAGCCGGCTAAAACAACAACACTACATTTGTAAAGTGCCTTTCAAGTTGGGAGCACATACTAAGGTGCTGAACAGTCAGGGATCAGAACCTAAAAGTTACAAATCCAGACAACTAGGAATGCATCAGCTTTTTTTTTTAAGTTCAGTTCATTGATACTTTTGTTCCTCAATTCTTAAAATCAACAATATAATATAGGGATAGGGCATAGTAAAGTGAAAACATAAAATCTCCTTGTATCTGATTTCTTTTTCAAGTCCTCAATGCTTGGAACTAAGTTCTACCTGTTTTCTGCTCAGAATCTTTGGTTTTGGTGGATTGTGCTACTGAAGGTTCCTTTTCCGGTGTCTGCCCAGCTCCGTGCTCCTGCCCTGTAACTTCATTTTTCTGCTTTGGTTTTCCTTCCTTCTCGGTTTTCTTTTTAGTTGCATTTCCCCCAGTAGGAGTAAGTGGGAGTCGCTGAATTAGCAGAGGTTTTTGGACGTTTGTAGGAGATGGAGGGCGCTGCTTGAATGTGCTGGGAGAAGGAGGACGGTTCTTTGGATTTGATCTAATAGTGAATAAAATAATGCTCAGTAAGATCTGCAATTTCAACTGCAAGTAAAAGAAGAACTTATAGAATCAGGAAGGTGTAAATACCGCTAAAATTATATTAAAAAATATAACTTTTGGAGGGAGGTTCTTAATAATACATTCCGCAATTAATATTAATGTTATCTGTTCAACAGAAAATGTCAGTTACGAGAAGCATAATGATATCCATTCAATCATTAAAATAAATCAGAGGAGATAATTATCTAGGAATCAGAATAGTCCAAAATTAGACCAAGACTTCTTCCCCCTAACAAACAGTCACTAATTTGCTCTAAAACATACTAACTGAGCAATGAACAAAGGCTATAAATTTATTAAACAAAAGCATTCCTAAAAATCCACAAAATTTACTTGATTGTTGAAGGTGACGAAGGTCTTTTAGCCGCTGTAGTAGATGGTGATGGAGGTCTCTTGGACAAATTGGCTGGAGAAGGAGACCGTCTGCGTCCCGTTCTTGTAGCAGGGGAAGAAGGAGATGAAGGACGCTTTTCCTCGACTTGCTTCTGTGTATTGGAACCAAAGCCAATACAAATGAATTACAAATCTAATATGGTTTTGTTGTCCAGCAATTTAATAAACCATTCCATTAAAAGCACCCAAACTACTTAATTGATTCTTTACTTTAATGTGCATCAGTGCGCTCATTTGGGAGCAATCGAATAGGTTAGAAAGCAAGAATAAACATCTGGCAATCGAGTGCTAGATTTGGCTTACTTTTATTTTGATTACCAGCATCAAGCAAACTCCAGCCAGATATAATAATGCAATAATAAAAAAAGCAACATGGCACAGCAGTCACTGTAAGTTCTACTGAACCACCATAAGTAACCAACATTGAGGAAAATAAGCTAAATCTGACAAATTGTTGTTTATTCTCATAGAGAATGTGACATTTGGAGCACCCATTTTAACCCTTCAAATGCCTGCTGCATTTAACATGCAAATACGTTTTATAGCATTTTTTTAAAAAAGTCAATGTACTATAGTACCTGTTCTATAGCAAAATACAACATTGGAAGCAAATATCTGAAGTACAATACTTATTTGAAATCATAAAACAATAGCAAATTGCATTTATATAGCGTCTTTCTCGTCGGGAAGAAACAGAAAAAATCAGCACAATACTAGATTTAATGAACTATGACATGCAAACAATGAGTTGACATTAGAGAATTTAAAACTCAATTATGGAGATATATATTTGAACAAAGAGATTCATAAGATCGCTTCTCTACTGACCTGTGTGGTCTCGATGGGTTTAGTCTCTCCAGTTTGGGCAGCAGATGTCACCTTCTGTCTGTCAATGCTGCGACTACGCAAAGGCTTGTTGGGAGGGTTGATGGGGGAATTCATGGAACTAGCTGAAGCTGAACGAGGACAGAGGTGAGACTCTACAAAGTTAGAATTTGAATCAGGACGGCAAGAATGCGCAGAGTAGAAAAACAGAAAGGAGAGAAAAACAGATTCTTTAGGTTAGGTCCAAATCACAAATAGGGCTGGAAGTGCAGGAGGCCATATTGCATCATCAAACACCATCACCCATGCCAGGGTTAATGCTTAAAAAGATAAAAAGGAAAATAAATACAAAATAAATGCTTTAGATAATCAAGTCTGACTGGTATAATTTGTGGCATCTATAAAGAAGTTATTTAAACATTGAACTGCAGGATAATAGCTAATCCATTTAAAAAACACAAATATAGCAAAGTTCGTGGCACATGGATAGTCACACTGGCTACCTATTGACATTCACCTGAGTGTGTGTGTGTCTGTATGTGCATATGCTGCTGGTAGCAATCCAGTTTACATTTCTGCTGCATCAAACCACTTGAAACTATTCTATTACTTGTATATTCTACGCCTTCACATACACAAGTACATAGGTAGCAAGCAAACTTAAAAACAAAACACTGATGGAGCATTTTGGCAAAGTGCAGTAGGAGTGGTGATGCACTAGGCTGGTTACACATTTAGCTGGCATGGGCACATACAATAGCAAACAGAAAGCTAGCAGAAAGGATGTCATAGACTGAAAAAAAATCAAGTTATTCAATACTTTCATGGATGTACAATATGAAGTACCAACCAACAAGCCATTCAACCTGACTATGTCTCAGAAGTAGATTTTTTTATTCACCATTCCAATAAAATAAGCAATTGGGACCCCTTTTCAAACAACATACAAACTTTTTGTGTTTGCGCCATTCCTTTACTGAATCAGCATTTTTGCTATGTTGAAACAATGTCACTTGACCCATTCATACCCATTTAGCTATTGGAAATGAGGGTTCCCAAAAGTTATATGTGGCATGCAAGTGCTAGTTTTTTTCCAATAACTCATCTGATGTGTTTCAGTAGAAAGATCTTTTAAAGGAGCTATCGGTCAAAATTTAAATGTAAAAAACCTTTTGTGTGCCATTGATCGAGGTACAATCAGTTTCTAGAGGGCATCTTTTTAAAACGTACATTGTACCAGGAATTTAATACCACACTGATTTTGGTTGTATTATTTAGTTTTTGTAATGTACATGAAAACAAAATCTGCAACTAAGCCTAAACAGAATGGTCTGACAATTTGACCTGAAAAAACCTGGGAACCAACTACTATGTTTTTGTTGATTCTTTTTTTCATCTCTATGACATCATTCAGTCAGAAGAGTCAAGTGATCCAAATGCAGAATTCTTCACAACCACAATCAACACAGTATTGAGTTGACAGAGCTATTTTGCAGCAGGAAATGGCAAATTTTCCTTCCTTTGTTGCAAGGAATTCTCAGTTGTTGCAAGGAATTCTCAATTACCTAGAGGCACTGTACTTCCTGACCACTCAAGCTGACAACTGATCAAGCTCATACTGTTTGTAATTCCTAAATTGGTAGCAGATCTTCACTATCTGACGATGAAACTAGGTGACACGACAACAAACAATGAAGATTTTTCAAGGCCCGCCTATCTACAAGCACTAATGGAAGGTATCAATTTATTTAACACCAAATACTAGCCCAAGTGCTACACATAGTCATGTTCAGCGATCTCATGGAAATCAACGAGACGCTATCTCCGGTAGAGGGCCATTACCTGGAGAATTTCGTCCACCTTCTGACAAAGCAGCAGCACTCTTACTTCTAGCTAAGGAGGACTGTGTAGGGGTCAGCAGACGACTGATTACATTACTCTCCTGGGGATTGTTCTGGGAACGTCGAGCTGAATGGCAGGAACAAATCAAAAGGGAGTTGAAATGAATTAATTAAGAAAAAGGATCTAAAAAAATATATAAAATTGAAAAACAAGACAGGAACATAACCAGTTAGCTAGGTTAGTGAATGCTCATGAAAAAAATAAAACTAGGAAAGGGGTACAAACAAAAACAACTGTTAGAGATGAATTAAAAGTGGCACATTCCGAAAGAGAGAACAGAAGGTCAACTCTGGCTTCAAGCACAATAACTAGTAAAATTATTTCAGAGAAGCTGCATTCCCGAAAAAACATTCTCGTCTGGCATAACTGGATAGAAATGCCTGTTGTCAGTCTTAAAGCAGCAAGATTCACCAAACAACAGAATGCAGTTAAGCTCAGCACCTGAGCAACAATACAACAGCATACATCTTCACCATGTAGTTAGGACAGATGCTCAAATTGTCTGTGGGAAAATATTAACCCATTTGTTAGTGTTTGATCTCAACTTCAACAACCAGAATCCATGGGCCTACCAAATCACAAGAGGGCTGGAAGTAAATACATTCGTTTCCACAGCTGCTTTGTTCAAATTGCATAATGAACATCAATTAAGGCAGAAAGAGGTATCCACACTGTATTAAAAAACCGAACGTATATTAGTACTACAAATTCAGTGGAAACCTAAGGAAAATGTTTAAGGAGTTAGTAAACTTCCCGTTTAGAAGAGCATATTGAAGCAATATAAAAAGATTTAGTTATTGCTTAGATGCAATATAATAATAGATCGTTAATGCCTACTGACAAGAAATAAATCAACGAGCAGTCTTTTGCTGACAAGATTTCTAGACTCAGAAAGTTAGTTACAAGCAGGTGTAACAGGTTTATCCCTGCACTATTAAAAGTGAACAAGCAAAGTTATTGAAAGACAACGCTTAGCAATAAACACCAAAAGTTTTTTTATATAAAAATTGGTTTATATTGGATAAATGTAATATGTAAGAATCAGTATTCAGATAGTTTACCCCAGAAATTGTCAATTTAAAAGTAACTGAGATTTTATAAAGCTATTTGGAGTTAGAATGAACTGAAAAGATTAACTTATGATAACTGGTTTCTACATTACACAGGGCTGAGATTATATTTTTGGTTATCAGTTATGGTGTGCATGTAAAATCTGAGTAATACCTCACCACATAGCGACCTTTTACAATTAATTAATGTAATATACATAAAATTCACTGTTGTGAATGGTCAGCCCTATGGAAATTCTTCCCTTTGCAATTTTGCTAGTTTTGATGTTCCAAGAACATATCTGTTTTATTACCAAGTCTAAGAATCAAGACTGCCATTCATAACTCCTTCTAAATATCCTGAGGAAAAAAAATTGCAACTAAATTAATTTGGAATACATAAACATTAACATTATAGGTCACAGAACTGTCATTTAATATCTGCTTTAAAATGCTGTTTAAATTAAAATGGGTTCATAATTAATTATCAGAGTAGAAAATGTCCTTAAAAAGTTCTGGTGCTTGGAAGATTAGCGAGGCATTAATATTGCAGAACATGTTAAACCCGGCACAAAATTATTTCCTGCACCTGGCTGTTCCACCTGAGTCACTTTTTGTGGTGATTGAGGGGGCTGAGAGGCTTTACTACCCAATCTGTTTAAAGAAGCACTTCGTTTCTTGGAAGATGAACCTAGAAGTCAAGTGTAATTTATGTTAATTAGATGACAACAACAGATAATGAGCAAATTAGTATTTAAACACTTTCCAAAGATTGATCAATAATTTTAATATAGCAAAGCTGCAGTATCCTTCTGTTGCAGTATTTGAAAGCCTTTTTTTAAAAAAAAAACGTCCATCAAAATGCATAACATTTATTTTGTGGTATCCAACATTCCAAGCATGAGTGATACCCCTTTTTCTTAAGCTGTCAAAACAGCAAAAGAAAACTATTGGAACGTGTTGGTTTTAAATGCAGCATAGAGAAATCAAAGTGACTGGCTGATGTAACAGACAAAAATCAGAGAATACCTGCTTCATCATAATGTTTCGCAATGTATTGTCGATTTTTTGCTAAATAACTTTCCACTGTATTAAATGTATGGTCCCAACTGATATGACTTGTGTGAGGTTTACTGTACCAGCTGAGTTCGGGGGGAGGCAGTGGACAACTTTGAAAGGTCTCTCATCCCAACGCAAAATACTTCTCTTGGTGGAAGTAAATAAGTAAATGCAAGTGCGTCAGGGCATATATCACAACAGGAAACTATCAGCAAAATGGAGATATAGGTCCTGCAAAACATGGATTCCTTGTTTCCTGTAATATCCACTATAGCTAGGGGAGTACTTTCTACACAAAATAGATCACTTGGACATTCTTTCACTCCTGAGCAGATAATATTCATAGACTTATTATCTGAAGTACCTTGAAATCTCCCTCCCCCAATCATTTTTTTGTTTAAGCTATAGAAGGAAAAATTTGATCCAGAATGATTCAAATTCAAGTACAAAACAGAATACTGCAACTTTAATAAAGGCTCCTGCAACCACAAAAATAGTGATTCCCAAACACATTCTGCTATTGAGGCAGATGCATACAACATTGGACTACAGAAAAAATATCTGCATAATTGTTAAATGTTTTAAAAATTAGACAACAGAGTAATCAGGTAGTTCCACAAAGTAGCAGCAGAGAGATACACATATTTTTACTAAAATCATCATAACTTGAATCAATTATTGCCATGATTTAAATAAAGCTCCAACCCAACCGTTAGTAATACTATTTAGGCTGCTCCAGGTGAATTTATTTTATTTCACAATTCAGTTCATCTACACAAATTCACATTTATGCAATATGCAGCAGTTTATCCGATGTAGGATTGAGTTCCCCTGCAGCAGCCAGTTATTCCCTAGTGAAACTACAGTCAATAAAACAGTTACTGTCAGAGCAGTGCTACAATTTTCAGAAAATGGTTAAGAGCATATCAATACTGATTCTTTTATCTGAAACCCAAGTAGCACAAATCTGCCATTTCTGACTTGCAGAGTGCCCAGCACGAGTCATTCTGGAGCATTCTTAGGATTTTATAAATCTTTGAATAGTTGGAAGTATTCCAATCCATGTCTACTTTTACTCAAAACTGGGATTCATTTGTTTACAGGTACCAATCAAAACAAACCCATGTAGGAGAATCATAGCAAGCTGCAAGTCCTTAATGGCAGCCTCAAAATTAACCCATGCATTCCAAATCAGTTGTTTGTAATCATTTCACCGTAGAAATGGTCTGATTTTAACTAGTCACCTCAGCTTCAAGATTTTACAGTTTACCACACTTCAGTGTTGTCCTGCGCAAAGATACTCTCCAAATATAGAATGGCCATCTGCTGAAGATCAACAGAATGCTTTGAAGTAAAACGATTACTTGACTGGCACATTCGCACATATATTCGTGAACAGGTTAACTGAAAAAACATTCCCACCCAGCAGGGGAGCTGCAGCAGTGCTGTGTAATAATATGTAATAGTTTCACTTGAAGCAATTAGTGACTAAACAGTTAAAGTTAAAATACTCTCACAAAATATTTATCTTTGTTTAAGCTGAAAAATACAGGACTTTCCTGCCCAGGGGAGGAGCGACAGCTTCCTTCCTCCCTTGCCATTCACATTGGACAGGAAAGGGACCAATAAGCGGCAGCATTGAGGTGATTTGACAGTCTGTAGCTGCTTGTGAATGGATGTGCAATCTATCCATTCACAAACTGCTCATATGTCAATCAATTGCGATTTCCCTCCCTTGTTCCTCCCCATTCCTCTGCCCCTCACTGACTGACAGCACAACTTCAGTCGCTTGTGAATGGTTGGAGTCCGCTGTCAATCACAATTTGATTCCTCCCATCTATATCAACACACAGAGTGAACACATTCAACGACGACCGGTGCGGCATTTTGGCCAAATTAACAGGAGTTTTGTCCGGATTAGAAGGCATATTTAAATACAAATGAATCAGGCCGGGCGTTCTGTTTGATTTACTCAACATCCGGCAAAAACGGATAACACAGTATATATGTATCAATATGTATATATATATAAAAATAACACTACACTTACTTCTTTCAGGAGACTTTATAAGTACAGCGGAGGATGAAGATAGACGTTTGCTAATCACTGGCTCCGTCTGCTTTACAAGATTCATGGTGGATGCAGAACGTTTATCAATGGCTACAGAAGGACAAAAAGTATCAGTTTTTTCCATTCATTGAGATAAAAAAACACCTCCTGGATTTTTCCTTAAAAAAATAGTTTAGGGCATGCATATATACTTTAAAAATAAAATGTTATCCTGAAAGCATTCTGAACTCAGCTAGATAAGTTACAGTAGTTTTCATACGCTCAATTTTGCAAACGGAATACTAATTTGTTTCTGGAGTCAAGTGTGATTCGCTGTAAAAAAAGATGGTAATGCTCCTATTTCTTTTTAATTCTAAGGACTGAATGAAACTAACTGCCTCATTTCCACTATCTTGGGGACACTGGAACATGACTGTCAAGTTAAGAGTCAGTTCTCACATTAAACCTTTAACTATAATGAAATTAATCAAGCAATAACGTATAATGTGATAATGTACTCGGTTACTAAGAATGTCATTGACTGATTTTCCAACCAAATTTAAAACTGTCCAATACTTTTGGAGATTTTTGCATTTGAAATGTTTCAACATATTTTGAGCTACTAGTCAAAAAACATTCAATTGATATAGACTCTTAAGTAGAGAATTTAGCTGTACTACAGAAAGATAAAATAAACAAAATCATCAGAGAAAGAATGGTAATATTACTAGAGACTTTCAGGACAAAATAATATTTTTGCATTCCTTGGATATATGAACCAGACGCATGCACCCATACCGTGTATTTCTGGAGAAAATAAAGCATTAAGGTCCTGTAGTAGCGGAAGTTAGTTTTCCTTTTAAATGCATATAAACCCCCCAGAATATGAGACACAACATGAATGCATTAGTGATTATTCAGCAAGCAGACATCATAGTTCCAAACTTTTCTGATACCAGAAACATCTTTCGTAGTAGAAGTCTGAAATTCTGAGGAAGGAGGGGGACAGTCAGCTAAATTTAAAGATGGGGATAAGGAATTTTCAACACCTAAACAAAAAAGAAACCATAATTTAAACAGAAAAATATTACAGGTTAATAAGAACTATATTATTATTCGCCTATCTCGTAGATGTGATAAGGCGCTATATCAAATGCAAGGATTATTATTTTGATTATTATTATCAGCTACAGTAACAAAATTATTGGGGATGAGTGAAGAAGAGCCGGGGGTGGTGGGGGTGCGGGGGGGCGGGGTGGAACAACAACGGTAATTCATTCTGGACAATGGAAAAAGGGTCATTTTAACTCATGATAATGATAAAACAAATACAATTCGCAATGGATGGTGAGAACTGTGATCATATGAATGCGATGGTAAAAATGATCAATTAGTGCACAATTTGCCTAAAGCCTTTTCTTGGCTTTTAGAATACATACTATAAATACTATTTGAGGGCGGTTTAGGTTTGCAATTAATTCATTTATACCTGCAGGTGTTTGTTTTTAATAATGAAAAAAAACATCGAGCTGATTCAACTAGCGTTTTCCTAAATCGTTGTTCACCTTGTTGACAGTGTGAGGCAGCAATAAACAAAACGAACAGAATGCTGGACTTAATTGTCACATCAACTGAGTTCAGAAATCACACTTGAGCTGTACAATGCTAGAATACTGAGCTATGAGCAATCGTTGCATAAATTCTAGAGTGTTGAAAAAACGACATCTCAGAGGGGAACTTATTGAGATGTATAAGATTTTAAATAAGATTAAGAAAGTAAACAGAACAATACTGTCATATATGCTGAGACAGCAGAACAGGAAGACAGTTTATTTCAAGACAGGCACAGAAAAGTATTTATTTATCTTGAAGGTAATTAACAACCGGAATAGGTTACCAGTAAGGCCTAAGTAAACTTGAGGTCAGGAAACTCATTTTAAAAAAAAACCACTTGATGCTGTAATGGTAGGATGGGTATTCTGCAAGGATGAGATCAAATTGGCCGAAGGAACTTCTTTATCGGAACCTTTTGTGATCATGTGAGTGGAAGACAAATGTGCACTTTTATATTTCATTAGGTAGAATCAAGAAAATACAATAAATAAAAATAATTCACGAATGGTGCCAATTTATGCATCACATTTCTTTTTTAAAAATGAGTGCAGCAGTATTTTTATTTTTCACTTACCACTAGAGTTTTCATTTTCAGTTGATAAAGCTCCTCCCCATGACCATCTTTTTTGCCGTTGCTCCACGCGTTGGCTTCGTTCTAAGGTGCGTCTTATTACAGCTTCATAACGTTCCTAGTATAGTTTCGTAAAAAAAGTTACAGCATTCAGTAAACTGTTTTCTTCTCCAATAATAATAAATAATAATCCTTGAATTTGATATAGAGCTTTTCACGTCTTCTAGATGTCTCAAAGAGCTTCACAGAATATACTGTAAAGTGAATTGATTGTATGTTTGTGGGCGAAATGTGGCAGCCAATTGGGCACAGCAGTGTGGATTGAAGTGAACAACTTTATTATTGTTTTTTTTCTTGAGGGATTATTATCAGGAGTAAGGAAACTTGCCCAAGGTTTCGCCCTGCCGAGTATTGAACCCAGGTCTCTCGCTTGCCCTACCTACCTGCCCGTACCCTCCGTTCCTCCGGCTCCGGTCTGCTCCACGTCCCCCGCCCCAATCGCCCTACCATTGGTGGTCGGGCCTTCAGCCTCTCAGCCCCGAGGCTCTGGAACTCTATCCCCCAGTGCCTTCGCCTTGCTTCCTCCCTCTCCTCCTTCAAGGCCGGTCTCAAAACCTTTCTCTTTGACCGAGCCTTCAGCTCCCCTCTCGACTCTCTTCCCCCTTCTCGCTCCCTCCCATCCCTCCCCTCACCCTGACCATTTCCCCCTCCTCGCTCCCTCCCCTCCCCTCACCCTGACCATTTCCCCCCTGCTCGGGTCATGACCCAAGTGTGCAGCGCCTTGGGACGTCCTCCTGACGTGAAAGGCGCTTTATAAATGGAATCTTGTTGTTGTTGCGAGTGCTCTAATTACTGAGCTACAGGGCTCCACAATCTGAGTTACACTAAAAGCAATTCACTCACATCCAGAAGAATAGGGATCTTATATGCAGTAAATTATGAATTTATATATAAAACGTGATAGGAATACATCTTTCTGTGTGCATTACTGAGTTTTCGAAAGAACAGTGAAGCTGGAAAGAAGACAGCACTCTCTGACAACACAACATTAATTATTCAAAATGCATTACATATTATCATTCTGTAATAAAGAGGGCATTCTTCATTATCAGCTAAACAGTTTACGAGAATGTTTTCCTCACCAATCAAGTAAAAGCTTCGACTATTCATTGTCTATGCACGGAAGATAATAAACTAAAAAAAACACTTAAAGGTGCAGAATTGCAACAATTACGAACATGTTCTGACACGTGTTGCATCTATTTTACAATGACACTGTTTAATTAAATGGCTTTTGTTTGCAAGTATACTCATCATACAATGTAATTCTGCTTCTCACCTTTTCTTCTTCACGTTTTTGTTTTCGTTTCACTTCTACTGCAACTCTCCTTTGCTCTTCCTTTTGCTTTTGTTCTTCCAGTTTCTTTTGTCGTTCTTCTATTTGTTTTTCATATTGAAGTCGTGCCTTTTTTTCTTTCTCTAGTAATTGCGATTCTCTAGCAGCTAGTATAAATGTGGTAAATCTGCATTAATACTGCTTAAAAAAGGCAAAATAAGTATTCTGTTAACAGTAATTGAATGGTACATTCGATTTTAAATTCTATAAGAATGCATTAGGATACTTTATGCCTTAATTTGATGAAGTACTTGTAATAGAGGAATGTTTCATTCACCATACTTCGCATCACCAGAATAGAAAATGATGAATATACCCATTTGATTTTGCTTTGAAACCATATTTTTTCTTTGTTTATTGTCCAAACTTGGTACCCTTGAAAATCAGTTGCAAAATTTAAATTTCTAACAATTTAGATGATGCTTATGTAGAACTTTAAAGGTTGTTGTTGAAGGATCAAGGTCATTATTGTTTCTTATTCAGAAAGTATTCATTCTGTATGTTTGTCTGATTAGTGTTAAAACTAGTACCCAGAATGAAATCAGAATTACAGTACTCAAACTAGCTGTCGCACAAAATGCTAACTACAGAAGCAGGGGACACCAAATCATAACCAAATATGTGAAAGTAAATGCCTACCACTTTTTCCAAAATATTAACTATAAATAAATATCTGGATAAAAACAATACAAGTCTGTTTACAGTTTGAACAAAAACTAAGCATTTACCAATTTGTTTTTCCCTTTCCTCTCTGCGTTCCTTAGCCAGTCTCTGTCTTTCATCTGTCCTCAGCGTAGAGCCATCTATTACTGTTCAAATAGGCCAGATTTGGTTAATGAACATAAATGTCAACCCCTTTTGAAATTCTAATGTATGCAAAGGCACTGTCATAGTTTAAAACAGAGCTAGGAAAGGATTTTTACCAAAAGTGTATTTCTATTGCAAGCTGGCATAGAAACTATCAGGAAACGTTGCTGAAGATTTTGCAACAAAGTAGAAAAAAGCAAAATGCTAAGACCTGAATATGTCTATGGGACAGTAGGCTTCATACACAAACATGTTTGAAAACAAAACAATGACAGCACACAGACATTGGATATCCAGATAGGATAAACATACATCATAACAGGAGGGTTAGTCACATAATTGAAAGTGTTATGGAATGCGAAAAACAAAACTATGTAGCAATGAAGTTTTTTTAAAAAAAATCAGTTGGCTGGCTAAAAAATGAACATTTTTTTTAAAAAGTGACATCTATGATGTTAGGGAATATTTAAACAGGGCTCCACAATATATACCTGGTTTGGTTGGTGTTTTTGCAATTATTGGTAGTTCCTCTGTTGTGGGACTATTTACACTTTGGCTTCTTCTTTCCTCTGCTTGGGCTTGGGCTGCAGCAACTGTAATAGAAGGAAAAATTCTTAATTCACAGTCCCAATAAATTACATTTTTACCAAATAGAAGAGGCTATTTTTTCCAGAATGAACACTGTAACAAATTCTGCATTTCAAAAGACCCATAATTGCCACACAAGCCTGAAATGTACAATGCAATTTCTTTCTGCTGCACGAAAACACTATTTTATTCATAAAAATCTCAGGGAACAGAATCTATTGGAACTCCTTCAGTATGTACAGGATCCGATGAGAATACTGCAGTCCTATTTGTCCAGTCACAAAATCAATAAAGGATAATCTTACACTACTGTCTGAAATACCCATGAATCTATGTCTTCATCAAATATGTATTCCATTCTTCGCCTCTTTCATTCTTCCGGTCACCTTGGGATGTCCTCTTGATGTGAAATATAAATGCAATTTGTTGTTGTTCCAAATTTGTTGGTGCAATCTGCCCTCCACATTTTCTCCATTTTGTGAGTGAGATACTCAAATCTGAAGTGCCTTCCCTCTGAATTAGAGTTGAAGGAGGCAAAAAATGTCTCACAAAAAAGTATTAAACCACCCGAGGTATACAATAACAAACTAATGCGTAAAAAACAATTATAGGACTGTGTATACAGTATCATTGGAATGTTTCAGAATTTTCTCACACAAAGATCCTTATCTTTCATGCTGTTGGAGGGAGGAAACAAGATGGGTTTCTCTTCCCTCACAAATATACTGCTCCATTCCACCGTCCAATTTATTTCACATGGAAATTTATTTATTTATTCACATGGAAATAAATTGTTCCTATATTTGAGGGAGGAAAGCACCATTTATCAATACCACATTTAATTAAGATATTTTAGAAAGTGAAAGTAAGCAAAACTCAAAATAAAAGAATCCTATTTTTTATCAATAATTTGAAGCCAAAAAGATTGATTTTCTTATGATGCGTGTGATTAATTTTGATCCTACTTTTTCATGTTATTCATTGCTAATCAGTCTCTGCCTGCAGCAGTCTCAAACAAAACTGGAACAGAAATAGACACTTTGAAAAGGCAGGAAGGAAGGAAAATTAGGAGAATCAGCATCTCCATGGATACGGTTTCTATGAAATCAACAATTCTTTGAACAAGTATTCCACAGTAGCTAAAATCCCATGTGAAGTGAATGTTAATTTTCTACAGTATCTAATGTACACATCCTCTCACAACTGAACCTTTGCTTTCTCAGCTGTCACTTTTATAGCATCTTTGGAAACAAATTTAAAATCCCACTCCCTCTTACTAATTACTGAAACTGAAGGTTAAAATAAGGCAACACTGTTCTCTAGTTTTCCTAAATTCCAATTTCCACCATATCAAGCTTCTTAATTCTGGAGAGCCTCATTAATACACATGAAAACTGGTTACCTCTGCTACTCATTTTTAGATCTTTACCAATCTTATTTTATTTACCGTTCATGTCTGGGTCCCCAGCGGATTAACCTTCATTCCACACCAGGATAGGCATGCAGAATCAACGAATAAATTCAATGACAGAAGGATTCAATACTTGATTTTCTGATATCCAGATTTTAAAAGCATATACAATTCTTGATATCACCAGCTTATCACAAATTTGTCAACTTTTGCTTTTTTGGATTCTAAGTCCACCGCTTGTCTGTCAGACAGCAAGTACTAGATACACCAACTACCATTCGTTAAACATAGACAAGACAGAAGCCATCCTTTTCAGTTACTGTCAATTTCTCCTTGCTTCTGGCTACAACTTCCTCAATCTCCCCAGCCTCTTTGTCAATTCACTGAACCAGAGTGCAACCTTAGCATTCAGTTCACCCCTCAACTCTCTTTCCTACTTCACATCTAGTTGTTGAGCAAGACTCCTTTTTCTGTCTCTTTGCCAGCATTGTCTGCCTCCAGCCCGCTCTCATACTCAATGCTGTTGAAGCATTTGACTACCTTAAACAAATAAAATTAGACGACTCCTTCCTGAAATCTGAAAAATTCATTACCCATCCTTCTTTTCCTAACCTCCTACATTAATCAAAGCTCACACTTCACAATTGTACCCAATCTAAATTCAAGCATAATTCTTCTCCATCACACTTAGATTTCCAAAAAATCTAAAAGCTCTTCCGTCTGAAAATTATTAAGTGACAATGCTGTGCTTCCAATAAATCAAAGGTCTATAACCTGATTGTCTACTGCCTTTGGCAATATTATCAGTGTTCAGAATTCCAGCCAGGGTGTAAAGTGCTTTGAGACATCCTCCAGATAGTGCAATATAAATGTAAATTGCGGTTATTAATCAACTTCAATAAAGTTGAGTACCATCATCAATTAAGACAGGTATGCTGCATTGGAACACTTGACCTAGAACCTAGATTCAGACCCAAACCTATTCAATTTTCTATTTTGATTTGATAAATCAATATGATCCAACAGAGTTGAATGATCATACTAACTCAAATAAGTTTCAGTTAACGTTAGCTTGACTCAGTGGCAGCACTCTCGCTTCCGAGTCAGAAGGTTGCTGGTTCACATCCAACACTGGGACTTGAACTCGTATATTCTAAATTGATACTCGAATGCCTCGCTGGGGGTGTGTTGCATTGTTGGAGGTGCCGTCCTTTGGATCAGATGTTAAACCAAGGTTATGTCTGCCTGTTCAGAAGGACGTTAACGATCTCATGTCACTATTTGAAAAGAGAAGGGAGTTTCTCCCAGTCTCCTGGCTAATAATCCCCCAAATAAAATTGGTCACTTCAATGCTGCTTGTGGGACATTGCTGTGCGTAATTGTGCTGCCATATTTGTTTACAAATACCACACTCACTTCATTTCTTGATAATTTCTGTGAAGCGCTTTGAGATGTCCTTCTGATGTAATAAGGTGCAAGGATTATTATTATTAGTTCACTTGTTGGGCTGGAGACAGCTTCTTATAGACGTGGTTGATGTCCTAACACTTCTTTAGAGGGTAAACACTATTTTGCAAATGTTCCTCTCCCTTTTATATAAGAACACAAAGTATATATAAACAGAAAGGTCTGATACAAGCTGTACATGGTTTAGTGGCATCTTATCAAATTGAAAATCACTGAAAAGTTTGCTTTGCTGCAATGCTCAGTCAAAATATAGAAATATTAGACTTGTGAATCTTTTTACAGACTTGATTATTATCTGCAACTTCCAAAGTAAACATTTTCTGCAGACATGATGACCTGCAATATTACTACAAGCACACAATCTGACCTGTCAGTTTCCTAACAGCATAATACCTCACCTAGTAACCAAACTCAAATGAGTTGTGGGCAGTTAATCTGCACCTTGGTCAGTGATGCCAGCTTGAAATAAACACCTCAAAACACTTGATACTAATAATAGTAATACTTGTTACTAAGAATATATATTTTTAAATGTACTGATTGTGATACATTTATTTTTGATCACAATCAAAAATATTTATTTTTCTCTTATAAACAGAATAAGAGAAACAACAGTTTAAATAACCTACCGAAATTATCTAGGCTCACTCATGAAAAAAAGGTCATCTGTATGAGTCAGATAGCACTGTGGAACCATATCAGTCATTACCTTCAAACAAAGCCTGAAAACTACATCTAATAATTGAACATACAGACTTCTTAGGTCATCAGGACTTCAATTGATTTGATAAATTTAAACTAGAGCTCCTTTTTAAGAAAAAATTACCTTTTTGATATTAAGAAATCAACATACTTGGTAAAGTTTGAGTGCATTCTTGCTGTCATTGTAGTTGCAGAAAGAGATTTTCAGACATTTAAACAATATTGAATATGGAGGTAATTTGTCATGATGCTAAGACTGTGCGGGTTAAGATGAGATCTATAGCGAAGGCTTAATCTACTCCTGCTGTACATGACACAGATTTGTTTTCCTTAGTGGTACTTGAGTACTGCTGATATTCCCTTGTTTTAACATTAGTCTTAAAACAGTGAGCGCAGGGTAGTATGGAATCTTGTGTCAGGTCCACAAGTTTTTCCAGCTCTACACGAGCACTGACTTTAATGAAAAAGCACATGTTCTTGGTAATGTTTTATATTCAGATTGTCTTTTTTATTGAGTCATTAATTTAGATTGAATTCGGATTGAACACTGGAGGGCCTTTCTGCTGAAAGGACAAGTATATAGGGATTTTGGACCAGCTGTGTGGTCTATGAGACTACTATCCAGAGGGGCTAGAAGCTTGACAGAATAGAGATAGATGAGTGTACTTTTGTTGGCTGGCTGCTAGGAAATGCAGTCATTGTGAAACAAGAGGCACACTTCTGAGGTCAGAGTGAAGCATTTTTTTTTTTCATCGGGTCCATGGGAGGCAGGATAAGTAGGAATGTGTTCCATTAATCAACGCATATCTCGTAAATAAAAGCATATTTAAAATATAAAATCAAACATTTTGAATAAAATAAACTGTTTAAGGTCCACTAAAAATACATGTAGACTGTTGCTATGCTGTTGTGATGAACTACACTCAAAGGCAACAGAATCTTGAAGTACACTACTTTGTTTGTTGCGTTATTAATTTATTTGCATTTCATCATGGACTGGATAAATTTGCCATAATGGCACTATGAAAGATCAAAGGAATTATAACAAACCTCAAGCATCATGAATATACAAATAAAAGTCCAGAGTGCAGTTTGTTATCCAATTAAATAATACCTTTCTAGAGCTGGAACACTGTAATGTAAGTTTTATGTTCAATTAAATTAAGATTAATGTACAACATTTACTGTGTCAGAATACAACACAAACTTAGTTTGCTCAATCAGTGGTAAAGCATTGGGCGCAAATCCAAAGGGCAAATTCATATTTCGCTGTGTAGGAGTGGGATTGATTGGCAGCCCTGCAAAAGTCTCTTATGCAAACTGACTCACCTCCTGGCTGAAAGAAATGACAATGGCAAAAAGGCCTAAAACAAATTCAAGCAAACAGATGAAAGGTATAAAATCAAGCCCAAGCCAACATGGCTGTCTGTGGTAGTGCTGTGTAGCACTGTATACACACACACACACACATCTACACTGGCGTATACATACAATATGAATGGAAACATTGTCCGGCCACTGAAAAGATACTACAGTTCCACTTATTTTTTTTTAGTTTGAACGACACGGATTTTTTAAAAAAAAAACACACACTAAATCTGACGATAAGGAGAGGTCTTAGCTCATAGGGTTAGGCAGCTCCCCTCATCCAATTTTTGAACAGGAAACACGTAACGCAACTGCCGCTCTAAATCAGTTTCCTGACAATGCCGATTCTTTAACAGCTGTTTTCTGCGTCGGGAGCTCAGCATCAGCTCATAAGACCACATAATAAAGCCAGCAAGGATTACTAAGTATGGATGTAAATACCGCCGACACAGCGCAATATCCACATGATGCGACAGAGCGATCACAAAGTGCATTAAAGCCATTCGCAACGGCATCTGTTAAATCGATCCAAACTAAACGCCTCCCCGTCTTGTTCCAGTCATACGCTGAACTTTTCCAAATGTTGCGCCGTTGGTGCAGCTTCCACCGCGCGAGGAATTCAGCCACTTGCAAATATAACTGCCCTGGTAAGGAGGACAGGCCAAACGGCTTATTTTATGATGGTGGCGAGAGAAAATTATTGAAGCATGGGCAACGTTAACTGGCATCATTGCGTTGCTTCAAATACTCTCCACCCAGTCTGACCAGGGGTTGGTTAACTGATTCAAAGGAAAAAAAATGCAAGGATTAGGGGCCAAATCGTTGGACGAAAAAAAAATAGCAATCTCACAGGGTGGATAACAAGCAGACGTTCATCACGAGATGACAGAAACCCTTTGTGATCAGAAAGATGTATATATATATATAGATATATACACACATATATATATAAAAAACACCACGTTTCTCATTCCTATTATGCAGTGCGATATAGAAAAGGGAGGAAAACTAACAAAGCTCTACTTTAATCTCCCCCTTCCAACCTGCGAGCAAACATAAAACACACAACAAAAATAAAAGACCTCGACCCGAAGCATCTGCGACAGACACCTGACACCGACTGACAAGACCAGACTCTCCCAAGTAATTCGCTGCCTCCCGCGTCTTGGGCGAATTTAAAAGTGCTCGGCAGCCACCGGTCCCCTCTCTGACATCTTGAGGGGGTGGGGAGGAGGAAGGAGGAGGAGAGGGGGAGGGGAGTTCCTGCAGTTTTTTTTTGCACAGATTTCTAAACGGCTTTATTTTGGGGAGGAGGAGGAGGATGAAGGATGGAAGAGTAGAAGAGGCCTGAGGATTATTTTATTTTGGTTGAACTCTTGTGTGTGTGCGTGTGTGTGTGTGGGGGGGTGTGTGTGGGGGAGCTGCCTGGACAGCCTGAGTGAGTGAGTGAGTGACCGAGCTCCAGGCAGGACTCCCGGAGCCGCCGTTACTTTCCTCCTCGGCTCCCGGAGGCCGAACAGTTACCGGTCGGTCCGCTGTGCAGACCCTCTCATCCATGGAGAGAGAGAGAGAGAGAGAGGGGGGGGGTATTAGAGCCAGACCAGACCACCCCTCCCACCCGGTGCTTTAACCCTCACATCCCACTCGAGAGAGAGAGAGAGAGAGAGACAGACAGACAGAGGCCTTGAGGTCGGAGCCCGGCCTCAGTCGGCGCCAATCTCAGCCGCCGGCTGCCCCCTCGCTCAGATAACAATAACAGCCCGCGGCCGCCTCCCTCTCTCTCCTCGGTACCTACCTCACCCGTGTGTCTCTGGGGAGGGGGAGAGTGGTGGTGGGGTGGGGTGGGGGGGGGGTTACCGGGCTCAGGCAGGGGCCGCTGATTCCTTACCGTACTGAGCCCTCAATCCCTTCAGCGTCGTCGCGCCCTCCGCCATGTTTTCTTCCCGCTCAGCCCGGCGCAGGCGCAGAAAGCTCCGCGAGCGGCACGTGAGCGAACCCGAGCTCTGTCACTGCAGTGAGTGCAGACAGGTCAACCCTGTGCACACACTCACATGTATACACACACACACACATATACACACCACACACACACAGAGGGCAAACCTGCAGTCAATTCAATTCAATCCTCTCCTATCCCAAGCAAGCCACTGTTTGCAATCAACTTATAATTCAGAAAACCATCGCCTGCAAGCAATTCAGCCAGTGATTCGGGCCGATCATCATCTTCATCATCATCATCATAATCCTTGCATTTGATACAGCGCCTAATCACGGGTCTTCGAGACGTCTCGAAGCGCTTCGCAGGATATTACCGGGAGGTGAATTGACTGTATATTTTTGCGGGCGAAGCGCGGCGGCCGATGGCGCACAGCGGTGACCCACAAGCAGTCGCGGGTTGAAGTGATCAATTTGCGTGTACTTATTTATTTATTTATTTATTTATTGAAGGAATTATCACCCCCCCCCCGGAAAAGCAATCCGCCAATCGACTAACAACTAGGTTCCTACTTACTGCTACATAAACAGAGGCTTGTGAGTGGAGTAAGGAAACTTGCCCAACATTTCGCCCGTCTGGGAATCGAACCCGGGTCTCGCTTACGAGGCAAGTGCTCTAACCACTAAGCTACAGGACTCCACAGGATACAGTGAGAAACTCACTGTCTTGTCTCCCAAGCATTCAGAATTCAACCTTATGCAGCGAGAAGCCCATGGTCTGCCGTTGGCTTGTTGTTGCCCGCGATACATCAAGTTGTTTCGCTCACTGTACAGTATATTCTGCGAAGAGCTTTGAGACGTCTCGAAGACCCGTGATAAGGTGCTATATCAAATGCAAGGATCATTATATTATGATTAACTTATACAGTAATTCTGGCTGCTAGAGTGAGAAACTCACTGTCTCCAACGCATTTAGAATTCAACCTTACTCAGTGAGAAAATGAATGTCTGCAACACATTTATAATTCATTCTCATACTGTGAGATCTCTAATGTCTACATTTAAAATTCTTATACCAGTAACATTCTGCTGCATTTCAATCTTCTATAATAAACCAAAAGGTCTGTAGAGAATACTAATTATGAGTTTTGTATGCATTATTTCTTCTGTCTGTGGAATGTTCACCCAGAGAGTGATGGAGACATGAAAGGGAGAGAATATTGCTGTCTCTCTAAAAGGGAAGGAAACTCTAGGGGAAAGTACTTTGTTCATGAAGTACTCTGTAGTAAGTAGTTACAGCAAACAGCCCCTTGTTATGTATCTGCTGTATCAGCCACTTTGTGTACAGTATGGAATAAAATAACAATAATAATTCTTGCATTCGGCACAGCGCTTTATCACTTTTTCGAGACATCTCAAAATGCTTCACAGAATATACTTTAAAATGAATTGGCTGTATATTTTGTAGGCTAAATGCAGCAGCCAATTGCATGTAGCAGTGTCCCACAAACAGATAAAAAAAATTTATCCCTTGCTTGATTAACTTAAATAGTAATATATGCTGATTCATTTGTAAATGTAGAATCAAATAAAGACTTATGTTCCAACTCGCATGGACGTTTTTTGTTCTCAAATTCTAAAAGGCATTGAATCTAATGTGCTTGTTGAATTTGGCATTGAGCTATGCAGACTGCTGCAAATAATCAAAAGGATTCCTTGTTATGCACTGTGCATATCCAGCTTAATGTAGCAGCATTAACAATGCTCATGTTGAGGAGGATTTGTGCTGCATCAGAGATCCCAAAAAGTTATGTTTATTTTATATTTTGATAAATAAAGCTCAATATTTATTTTCAATTAATTAGTTTTTGTAGATAACTGATACATGTGATCTGGTTAAATATCTGTTTTGCTATGTTTGCCTGTGAAAGAGCTATACATCTGCTAGAGGTACCAGATTATCTCCTGGAGAGGATTTTTTTCCTGAGCTGGATCTGTTCTGGATCTGTTCCAGTAAAGACAAAGACGAGAGTCATAACGACAATGACAGCATCTGCAAGGTTATGGAGCACATATGAAATTATATTTGCTTTCTGAGGTATCCAGATTAACTGGATCATAAATCTGAAGGTGGTGGATAATTACAATAAAAAGAAAATTACTTTAAAGGAAATAGCAGCTTTGTTCATAGACTCATGTCTGCAGATTTTGAATAGGAATCCAGTGATCTGCAATGACAACTGCCAGATTTTCTCTGTATTTTAAAGTCTGTTTTCCTTTTACATAAAAAGATACTGGAGACCCAATCGAGCTGTGGCTTTCATCTGAACATGATGACAGGATTAATGTGTAGGTTTTACTCTGGCTTTGCCAATGATAATAAACACAAAGACAATATTAATCCTATTGAGAACACAACACTTTCGGGGCTCTCATTCCTACAGCCATTCTGTTATATCAGTTAAAACAACTAGATTGTCTTTCAATTGCATCTGCACATTTTGTTTTGTGCAAAAGCGATTCTGGGCTACCTTTATATAAGGATGAAATCTTATCCACTCATCGTTACTTATTGAGTGCAATTGATTTTTTGAACAAAAGGCCCTGAACAAATCCCATTAAGTAAATGTCTGCAGGTAACACAGTCCATGTATTATTATGTATGGGATTTTAAAAAACCATTATATGGATTGTATATTACCAACTGAATCATGTTAGAAGAAATACCAATTACAATGTACATGTACCTTGGTGTCTTAAGGCAAAATGCAATTTACATTATTATGCTTCCTATGCACTAATAATGATATAGCTCTTTTCACATCTTCTAGACGTCATAACCTTAAACAGTCGGATAAAATATCACTGGACAACATAGTGAAACCATTTCTTTCCATTATTGTATTATGATTTAATTGACTATATATTTTAATATGAACAACAACAACAAGATTACATTTGTATAGCACCTTTCACATCGGGTGGACATCCCAAGGCACTGGACAGAGTACAGCATTTCAGAAGTTAAAGTTCCCACACGATCAACTCAGCTAAGATGATTTGCCATATAGATCAGTAGCTCATGACGTTTATTCATTCTTGTCAGATGCTCAACAAACACTTACATTTAACATTTTAAAATATATTAATGCATGATTTGAAAAATTGCTGAATGGTGTACCTCGAAACACCAGTCACATTAACATCTGTTGGAGTTACACAGGAATGGAAACAATTAAAGTGTAATGTAACGGATATCAGCTGGTCAAATCTTTAAAGTCATTTACAGCCTTTCAGCCAGAAATGTTGTTAAGTCTTTGTTGGAGTGTATATTGTTTTGAGTAAACAATCTTGTGTGGATCCAGGTTGTGAATGTTGTGCTTTCGTCCCACACTGTGGGCTGTCAGCAATATTCAACATCTAATTGTGCACATAATTGAAGTTAGTGTCATGAGAGTGGGATGTGGGGAAGTGATTAATAATCCATGTTGTTTAGTGGTGCATACTCGGTGCTGCACAATTTTATTTTTTAAAAAAGAACAGTGATTTTTAATAATAATATTTCCATCGCTGAGGCCCAAGACAAGGAGCGATCGCCCACAAATCATTTTCAGATAAGATTAAATAAGGTGATTAATCACCGCTCTGTGGAGTGGCCCAGTTCTTAGGCATTCCTCAAGAAAGTCAAAATAAAAACTTCTAAGTAGGTTACTGCTAAAATCCCCCCTAAAAACTATGCGATTTGAATGCCAGACTCCAGGTGGCAAGAATTTCTAAACCTGAACTTTTGGCCAGAAACAGTCTTAACACAGTTGACACTAAAAGTGCCAAATCAAATCAGAGAAACTACATCACNAAAAAAGTTTATGCAGATGATAAGATCTTTTTCTTTAAAGATGTATTTTATATACTGATAAATATTTATAAAACAACTTAAGACAAGACCTCATTTGTTAGGGAGGAATACACCTCTCACGGAGAGAAAATCTGAAGACAAATAGACGTGTGCAACATGGAAACAGCATTATTATTTTTAATGACAAAAATTTAATCTGTCACACAGAAGGTCTTTTATTCAATGGTGAGTATCACAAGTGATATCCAGAACACTCCAATCAGCCTAATGTCAGCATAACAGAAAGATTACATCGGTGACAATCACTGTAAAATGACTGGAATTGAATCTTCATTGGATTACAGGGAATTAACACTGCTCTACATGGTGACTTCAATTAAATCTGCACTACTGCAGCTGGAAACAGAAGGCCCAGTGGGACTACGAGTGCAGATTACTACTAAAGTCTTTGAATAAAGTAAAAAATGTTGGCATATGTTAATATAAGAGGTTTCAATCAAGTCACAAAAGTGAATCTTGACTGCTAGCTCCTTAATTAAATATCTAATTATATTTGCCTCTTCTTGGTTACGTTTGTTTAACAATGCCACGACTCATGCTGTCTGCCTTCAGGTGAATTCTAGCCTTTAAAATTAATGGTGCAGTGCAATGAAACAACAAGTTTTATTTTTTTTGTTCCCTCAGTACCTGAGAAAGCAAAGCAACAAGACAGTATGTGGTTCTTTTCCAAAATTGCAGCAAAAAGCTAAAATTTATTGATCAAATATGAAGCACTAATTTAGCGACGAAAGATCAAACCATGCAGAGTTTTATCTGAAAACAGTGTGTTGCTGCCAGATTTTTATGCTTATTTTCCCATTTCACATTCAAAGGCACAGTCAGAGTCCTGATTTGTAATGCCCTCTGGCAAATCAGATGATCCTCGAATATTGCATTTTATTTTGCAAGCTCGGTTATCAAAAACAGTCAAAACAATGAGAATTCTTATAAAGGGAAGAAGAAAATAAAATAATTGGGTCATAATTATTGGTAGATACTGAATCTTTTATTCAAGAACAAAACCATCGCCTGAGGCAAAAGAAAGTGGTGAACATACAGATGACTGAAAGAGGACTAAATGCCAAAATTGATACCTCAGTCTTCTGATCTTTTTCTGCAAAGATAAACAGTTGGCATAATA